TTTTTTTAAAATTCAAGTACCCCCTAAGATGTCTTCGCGTACCCCCAGATATAATTTCTCTTCAACTTTGTACCCCCAAAATTGTTGGTGTATAATTCAAGTTATACATAGTATATAATCTACATCTAAAATCAATTAAATAAATTACATTACTGATTATTCAGTGTTTACCATAAAATAATACATATATTTTTTAACGCTCACTCTATGAATGAATATTTGTATCACGTACCTGAGCATGCAGTTTCGACTTCAGTTATTTTAGGAGATGAATAAGTTTCAAAATTTGAAAACAATGAAACATCATCATCATCACACAAGTCGTCGGTATCGATTTTATGTTCAAATTCTGTCGTTGAATGATCCGTTAGTTCAATGGATTTAAAAGAGTCTAAATTGGAACCCATTTCTCTTTCACCATTTTCAATCACAAGAATGTAATAAGTCGCACTGTTGTCAGTATCCTGTGTTAGTATCCATTGAGAATCTGTAATGTTTAAAGAAACATTTTGTCCATTTGAATCCACTACTTCGAATTCGGTTGGAAGGTCCCAGTTTTCTGTGTTCGAATAATCTTCATTCTTTGACGTCTTCACAAGTGCATTATCAGTTAAATGCTTTTCTTCAAGTAATTTACTTTTCGTTACAGAGACAACTCGCTGATCTGCTTTAGTACTGAAGCTCGACATATCTACCGACGTTTCAGTGTTCATTACTTCTTTAGTTCCACTTTTGAACATCACAACTTCGATAAAAAATCTTCCGCACTTCTGAAGTAACTTCTGTATTCTGAACACTTTGTTCAAGAGGGAGAGACCTCGACGTCCACCGACAAAATGAATTTTAAACAGTGTAAGACAGTGTCACGAGTTTCTTCGTAATTTAAATATGATGAGCGCTTTGGTTATTGTGAAAGACTTTTAACAGCACGAAATTTCTCTTCTAAAACACACTTCTACAAGCTCAGTTCTCTCCAGAATACAAAAGTCGATTGTAGACGGCAATCTATACTAACACAACAATGCGGACAACAATTGAGACGTAAAAATTAGTAAAGGAATGCAATAAGGTTCATTCAGGCAATTATACTGCATGTATAAGAAATCAATAATGAACCTTATGGCATGCACAGCCAAGATTGTTGCAGGTTAGGTTAGAAATTCCAATACCTTTTCTTACATTGTTGTACATGCAGGTGTTCACATAAAATCTGGCCATTGTTGTTCCATACAGAGCCAGTGATTGATTGGTGAGTGAATGAATGAGTTAGTGAGAGGTTTTCCGTGATTTTCCTCAGTTATAAGGCGAATGCCAGAGCATAATTCAATAGGGGCACGGCCCGGCACCCCAGATCACGGAGGCCTTCGTCCCCCTCTGGGTTCAAACCCCAGAGAACCAACCAATCAAATTGTCTGGACAAGTTACCTGACGGGATAACCTCCCATCAGCAGCAACAGACCCTAGTTTGAATGGTCTAGGCTCCATATTTACAAATTCTTAGTAGTTAAAAGAATTACGCTGAGTTATAATTTGGTTATATTCGACCCTGATTGACAATTCTCACCCTCACCTGCAACAATCTTGGCTGAGCATGCCACTTGTTTAACTCGGCATTGTTGTATTTTTTTTGTGTATATTGCCGTCAATAATCGACTTTCGTTTATGTGGAAAGAAACGAGCTTTGAATCGCTTGTAGAAGGCGTTCGTCGTAGACGAGATACTTTTGTGCTGGTAAAAACCTTTCAGAATAACCCAAGTACTTATCTTATAGAAGAATTATCAAGCAGTTTGTGATTCTGCCCTCTGGTTTCTCCATTTTATATTTGATTCAATCGATCATTGCCGGTTGACATCGAGGTCTCTTACAATTGAACAAATTTTGAGGTTAGGAATTACTATTTATAATTATGGTTGATTATCACACGTACATGTTTTCATTTACAATTGTGAACTCTTGTAAGAGAATTAGGCTTGTATTCTCTCTAACACAATTTTAAGTAATATTACATTGACTCCTGTTTGATTACGGCGTCATTTATAATAAAATAATTCCATTCAACAATGTAGGATTTGTATTTCTAAAACATTTCTTCATGAAACTTAAATCCTTAAAAACCCGGTGGTAAGTATATGGACCACCTGATTTAACAATCAATAACTTTTCGTTAGGTATTTCTCAGGGCAAACAGGGATCATTTTCTTAAACAGGATTAACCATTTGATCTTTGTAACAGTGTAGTGTTTTCTTTGAGGTACGGACTGAATTCTTCAGCTTCGCATGGTTAACAAAAGGTGGCTCTGTCACGAAAAACAATTCTAAAATTTCTTGATACATGGGGTCTGTTTAATCTTTCTAGCGAGTTGTAGAGAATTTATTTTATTTTTTTAATAATCTCTGTGTGCAATATAATTGTTTGAATGAAATGTAGTGCACTCCATTTGTTTATGGAAGAAACAATAATTGTTACGTTAGCATTGTTGTATTTTGTTTGTGTTTAATGACGTCAACAACCGGCTTTCGTTATTGTGGAAAGAATCGAGCTTTTGTGCTGTTATGAACCTTTCAGCATAACCGAAATACTTTTCGTATATAAATTGGTTTATTTTTGATTCAAATATTTGTTGCTGGTAGACATCGGGTTATTTTACTCTCGAACAAAGCGTGAGGTAGGGTTCTTATTTATTATTATTATTAATAATATTATTATTTGTAATTGTCTGTGGTATCGTGAGGCTTTGTATGTAATTGTTAAACATTCAGAAGCCAACAATGCCATATATAAAGTCTCGTTGAATCTAGAGGACTTTATTTCTGTAATGTTAGCAACCGGAGGAATTCTGTAACCACCTTTGTCCTTAAGGGAGGATAGCAGTTGGTTACACTTATGTCATGTTATTGGCAGCGCCCGATTTTCTGATTTTATTTGTGCTGTCATGAGTCCGAGCGCGCTTAGGTTGCCTATATTCGCGGCAGTACTGCGCGTTGGTTTTGGGTCCGGGCCCGGCGTTTTCGATGCCATTCTCTTTGGAAACTTGTGCTCTACGCATTCGTGCCCGATTTTTGTAATTCTGGTTATACTTTGCCCTCATATATCGCGACATTTTAAGAAAATCGGAAAATTTTCAAACTTTTTCAAATTCACAGCCTCGTATCTTTTTGATTTTTTCAGATACACACTTGGAGGCCACGGTGAGTTGTAACATATACAATCCTCTTCAAAACAACACTTGGTTCACTCGGATCGGATAATTAGTCTCTGAGATATGATCCAGTTTATGGACACGTGTCGAATCCGGAAAGTCGAAAATCGTGGGTTCACTTTGCGCGTGCGCAGTTCGCGACGTCCGGCCGCCACGAATGTCGGAGCGGTACCGGCACAAACTTTCATCCTTCCTCTTTAAAACGAGACTAAGATGGAAGCGCTACGTCTATTTGTAGCCGAGTTATTGAAGTTTGAAATTACTTCGACAGAAACTGTCGCTCATTTGGGCATCAATTTTAAAGACGTTTTCACGTCAAAATATTTAAGGACTCCAAATCAATGCTTAAGTACAGAATGTGACGTTAAAATTTGCTTACATTCAAGGACTGCCATTCTGTTCAAAGTGTCGTGAAAACTAAGAGGTTTTCCTTGAAGTTCAGTGCGTAAGCTTATTCCTTTTCAGTTATAGACGATGATGAACCAACTGACAAGTATGAAATCGTCTTATTAACTCCTGACTTCGTAGCGAAGGAACGTAAATTCTGTTTCTGGGAATTGAAATAGTAGGAGGTCTATGTGATGTGCGTGATTCTGCTCTGATTAAAAGTTGATGGCAAAGGAGGTTTTTGGTTTTAGGTTTGGCCATTAAAACCTCTAAAACGCACAGATTAATTTTTTTTTAAAACGCGTTCACGTGACTTGCAGAGTGTCTGGCAGCTATTTAAAAATGGCTAGTTAGTCTATGTGTACAGTAATTATATTATTCAATTAAATCCAATTTTTTTTGTATATAATATTTGAACTCATCAGTGGTTTCCTGTGGTCAGTTGTACTTAGATTATGGATTTTTGAAAACTGGATAATAAAAATATATCCCCCTCCCCCACCAACTTTAAGCTCTCATTTCCACATTCAGATCTAAAATGTAATCAGAATGACATTCAACAGAAACAGTGGAATGACTAGCCATTAAAGTTCACTCGTGTGAAATAGAAATTTGTCATCATTTGGCCTAGTCTTTGTTTCATCTCCACATGTTACTTGTGCATTTCGAATGTGTTTCGTCACTGGGAACAAGCCTTTCGTTATGAAACAATAAACTTCAGTCTGTGTCCGGCCGTATTCCTAGGTATGATCATGTGGTCAGTTATTTTTTTGTAAAATGAATGAACATTTGTGTAATGTGCAGGGCTCTAAGAGGAACATGGCGTACTGCAAGCAGGTGGAGGTAATGAAGGCAGCGAAATCTCTGTTCATCAAGCGATCTCGTACCTTGTACCGCTGGCTGAACCCGGATTTTACGAAGAAAAAGCTAGATGAGACAGTTTCAGCAGCCTGGGACACGTTACCGGACAACGAGAGATACCTTTACATTGCAGAGGTAACCATTCATTCAGTCTTATTCTGAACATTCTCCCTTCACAGCCAGACAAGAAAAATTGTTCATTCAAATGGAGATTCATGTTAATTTCAAAGTCCTTGAGCTGGAGATTCATGTTAATTTCAAAGTCCTTGAGCTGGAGATTCATGTTAATTTCAAAGTCCTTGAGCTGGAGATTCATGTTAATTTCAAAGTCCTTGAGCTGGAGATTCATGTTAATTTCAAAGTCCTTGAGCTGGAGATTCATGTTAATTTCAAAGTCCTTGAGCTGGAGATTCATGTTAATTTCAAAGTCCTTGAGCTGGAGATTCATGTTAATTTCAAAGTCCTTGAACTGGAGATTCATGTTAATTTCAAAGTCCTTGAACTGGAGATTCATGTTAATTTCAAAGTCCTTGAACTGGAGATTCATGTTAATTTCAAAGTCCTTGAACTGGAGATTCATGTTAATTTCAAAGTCCTTGAACTGGAGATTCATGTTAATTTCAAAGTCCTTGAACTGGAGATTCATGTTAATTTCAAAGTCCTTGAGCTGGAGATTCATGTTAATTTCAAAGTCCTTGAGCTGGAGATTCATGTTAATTTCAAAGTCCTTGAGCTGGAGATTCATGTTAATTTCAAAGTCCTTGAACTGGAGATTCATGTTAATTTCAAAGTCCTTGAACTGGAGATTCATGTTAATTTCAAAGTCCTTGAACTGGAGATTCATGTTAATTTCAAAGTCCTTGAACTGGAGATTCATGTTAATTTCAAAGTCCTTGAGCTGGAGATTCATGTTAATTTCAAAGTCCTTGAGCTGGAGATTCATGTTAATTTCAAAGTCCTTGAACTGGAGATTCATGTTAATTTCAAAGTCCTTGAACTGGAGATTCATGTTAATTTCAAAGTCCTTGAACTGGAGATACATGTTAATTTCAAAGTCCTTGAACTGGAGATTCATGTTAATTTCAAAGTCCTTGAACTGGAGATACATGTTAATTTCAAAGTCCTTGAACTGGAGATTCATGTTAATTTCAAAGTCCTTGAACTGGAGATTCATGTTAATTTCAAAGTCCTTGAACTGGAGATACATGTTAATTTCAAAGTCCTTGAACTGGAGATTCATGTTAATTTCAAAGTCCTTGAACTGGAGATACATGTTAATTTCAAAGTCCTTGAACTGGAGATTCATGTTAATTTCAAAGTCCTTGAACTGGAGATTCATGTTAATTTCAAAGTCCTTGAACTGGAGATACATGTTAATTTCAAAGTCCTTGAACTGGAGATTCATGTTAATTTCAAAGTCCTTGAACTGGAGATACATGTTAATTTCAAAGTCCTTGAACTGGAGATTCATGTTAATTTCAAAGTCCTTGAACTGGAGATTCATGTTAATTTCAAAGTCCTTGAACTGGAGATACATGTTAATTTCAAAGTCCTTGAACTGGAGATTCATGTTAATTTCAAAGTCCTTGAACTGGAGATACATGTTAATTTCAAAGTCCTTAAATCGGTAATGGATTGGATAACTCTAACATTCAGCTCCAGGAAACAAATTTTAAACTGCACTTAACGGGAAGATACCTAAATATTTTACGTACACATTTAATTAAAACTGTAGGATGAGTACGGTAGTCTCCTAGACACATTATGTACATCACAGACCATGAAATTCTATGATGAGAACCTAGCTTCCGGACTGTTGTCTTTCTCTCGTAGTTCTGCCACATCCAGCTTGAGTGGTTACATGCAACATATGGAAATAATGTTGTCTTATTCTGTTTCCATGACAGTCAGTTTTGAGTATAGTTGGCGCAAAAGTTATTGGCCGGCGAAGAAGCTGGCGGACGAGCCTACTCTGTGTACCTGAGGTGGCAAGGTCAGTGCTTTTTTTTTCGTTTGGGCCTTCAGTCCGAGACTCGCTCCTCGGAGCAGTCAGCATTATACCATCGCATAAGAGACTCGCTCCTAGCCTTACCCGTTGAAAATTCCACTGCGCCGACTATACACGCATCTTTGTAAGCTAGCCTGTATTTAATCCATGTTTCTTACCGCGGAATGTCGATAACAGGTACTGGGAAAATCCGCCCTTGAAGTATCTAGCCTCATGATCAATCCGCAGTTGGACGTGTTGACGGAACTGTCAGAGAAGGGTCACGTGACATATTCGAGAGGCGGTGTTAATGAGGCAGAAAGGGCCGTGGAGGAACTTTGTGCTTCTTCTGATTTACAGGCCTCGTCATCTTACTCCGAAATGATGCCACAAAATACTACGAAGATCTGTAGAAAACGCAAATCACTGCAGTCGCTGAGTACCCCTCTTGGGGCTGTTCGCCCTGAGGACCTGGATGAAGAGACTCCCATCTTAAAACGCGTACGCAAATCGCATTTAGAAGCCGAGTTTAAGCAAAACCAAGATGTAACTTGTCAAGTTGAAACAACTCTATTTGTGCTTGAATCAGGAGGTAAGGATGAGGAGAAGGATTTCTCGAGAAACACAACTGATCCAGAAGATTTGTCGTCTGAAGAATCGGCTATTTGTAACAATGATGTCTTTTGGGGAATGGGAAAGGATCCAGAAGATCTCCATTCAAACACACATTTGATGTCTGAAATATCAGCTCTTTGTAACAATGAAGACTTTTTTGGAATGATAAAGGATCCAGAAGATCTCCATTCAAACAGAGATTTGATGTCTGAAATATCAGCTCTTTGTAAC